TTTAATTGGTTTATATTCGTAATCTTCATGGACTCGTTAAAAAAACATTACTGGTGCTGTTGTACAATAATCATTTTCACATGAACCGAATCCTGCCAGTTCCCGCACCCATCTCCAGGGTAAGAAAACACTCCCTCGTTTCCGATTCCGCCTCTCCAAACCTTGTCTCAGCAACGTTGTACAAATTGATGAACAGGGATGACATGCAATGCGACAGCAAGCCACAAAACAGAAATAAAGAAAGATAAAAAAAAAACAATGACACGCAGGGCTGAATATCATAAACTATGGCTGCGCATTCAATTTCTTCTGATGAAAGAGCGAGCCAATTCTGTCAAGGAGGGTCCACCGAAGAGAAGCTGATCAGTGTGACGGCCACATGTCGTATATCTGTTGACGGTGGCGGTAGGCTTGATAAAGAAGTGTGATGATTTTGGCGGGGATGAAGGAGCAGAGTCAATGGTGGGAATGGACACGTCGCTTGAGTATGAGTTGATGCGTCGCTGTTTTCTTGTCAGACCTGCACGGTGCTGTGTGCATGCCGGGGCCTGGGAGATGCTTACCTTTCCGTCCATCATGGTGGGGGAGTCAAAGTAGCTCCCGCCGTCCAAGGAAGAGGTGGCCGAAGTGCGCCGAGAGTCAATTGGTTGCGGCGCAGAGGAGGCATTGGATTGATGCATGATGTTATTGATGAAGTGGTGGTCTCTTGGTGCTGTGTTGCGTTCTGGAATCCGGTTCAATTTCTCTCCCTCTCTCTTCTCTTTTCTTTCTTTCTTGGGCGATGTAGCTGAAGTTGAAGCTCAAATAATAAACTATGAGCTGTCGAGAGTGTCGTCACAAGGGGATGAACTGAATAAAAGACGCCTTGTTGTTGATGTACTGGCACGGCTTATGGAACGAGGGTAGACTCGCTCGCTATGGGAAACGATTAATTGATTGATGGTACTGATGAATAGACTTGACGGTGAGAAGAATAATGAGAAGAAGTCGTAATTCTCCTGGGGGGTGATATCACGCATTCTTAAATGCCATTGACATTGTGCGGCTGAAAGCCTATGATTGGCAATGGATGACCTGCCTGCTTTCATTCCACTCCATCCCCGCCCGACAATCACACTCGGGCACGACGCCATCCGACCATCCAAATCGCAATGTAACACCACCAACCCAGTTGACGGCTTTCACTTGGTGAGCTAGACTAGCACTTACTACGTACTCCCGTACCAGGTGCAGCATTTGGCCTGGTCACGACAAGCGTAAGCCGGGCGCAACCCAACCCTTGCCCATTTCGGCCATGACGCATCGGAGTCGGAGACACGGCACCACGGCAGTGAGTGCTCTTGGTTGCCAAGATGGCCGCCAGGAGGGGCCAATCAGCACTCAAGAGCGGCGCATCCACCCCCAAATCGGTCATGGAACTTCTCTAGAAGCCATTTGGATCAAGACAGGCTAGGAACATTAGGCACCAGGCAGCGAAATAAAGAAAGCACTTGGCACAGTACCACAGGTAGGGTAGGTCAGTGTGGAGAGATCGGCCCCCCCAGGCGCCTCGCAACCCGCTTGCCCGCACAACGGAGGCGCTGGTGGCCGGAAGGCTGACGGCCCCGCCAAGTCCACCATAGACGGCCAGACCGAAGTCCACCAATGCAAGAGCTTATCTTCCCCGTACCAATCTTTTTGTACGTGCAGCAGAGCAGCTGCATGTGCAGCACAAACACACACACTACGTCGCTGCTGTTGGGTTACAAGAGTCCCAACCTACTTGCACCAGGCTAGAATCTCCACAAGGTTCGCACGCTACCAGCCGGTTCTCATTGCCAAGCGGACCTAGTTGTAAGAAAGGCGGTCACGCGTTGTCGCCTCCCCGGGGAATCTCCACGGCCCAAGCCGCTGTTTCGTTTCTCCAAGAGGGTGAGATGACGTCTCATGGAATAAAATTAAAATAAAAAACACGCTATACTTTTGTTGTTGTTATTATTATTATTTTTCAAGATAATTTGGGTAAGGAATTTCGCCGACGATCATGATTCCCCAGTACGTGCAAAGTCTTTACAGAAGTACCTCACATCGGATGTGGTGACCCGAAAATAGGGCAACCTTGAGACATTTCCGTATTGCGGTAGGACCAGAAAAGGGTTATTTACATTAGGCACCAAGTCAAATCTGGCCTCATGCTGAGCTCGCGAATGTATGACTGCAGATGGAATGCATGCTCTGCTGCCCACCGACGCAGTCATCAACTAACTTAATGAGTAAGAGCATGAGAATGAGCGACAGCCGGTGCAGGTGTCCTTTGCTGCAATGTGTTGTGTTAGTTAGCAGTGCAGACGAGGAGCTCCACTCATCAATGCATGTCAGCCAGGAGGTGTCGACTTTCTCCGCCACCGAATCTTGATTCCCCAAATGGCCGAGCCGGCCTCGTTGCTTTTCGGAAGAAAAGAAACCGCTGAATACGAAAATAGCATACAAGTAGAACCTCTTACACTTCTCACGACTTTCATGTGGCGTTGCTGTAGAAGCTTGGGATGTTTATTAGAGAGGGCTGCTCATGGGTTCCTTTTATTTCTGCATGGCTAAACTGTTTATTCCCTGGCCTCTTTTTTTTTTCTTTTGCTGTGGTGTTGAACCACATGTCTCTCGAAAATAGTATGCTGAGTTACTCAAACTGTGCAATTGACCATCCATGGAACGTTTGCTCTGTGATATGTATGGGATCTTATGTGCGACTTGGTCGAGACCTTGGCATTCTCTTCTAATAACTCATACACGCTTTCGACGTGAGTCAAGCAAAGCACCTGGGCCACGTCAACTCGTACAAGTCATGGGATATTTCCGTCTGACCTCCTTTTTTTTTTGGTAGATTTGGGGAGTTTAACGTCTTTCAATACCGAAAACACTAAATCAAGCCACTTGAGACAAGACAAAAGCTATTTTAAGCAGAAGACTTAACGGTTCGTCCGTTGAGCGCCTCTCGCTATTCTGAGCCTAGTCCACCAGCCGCGTTGACGGCAGTGGCTTTCAGATCGTTTTTCAAACCGGCGCCGACGAATAATGGCTTGAGTCGAAATTGCTGCCGCATGTAACGTTGAAGTTGCATTTTCGGGGACCGATTGCGTCAGTGTCTTGGGAGACAGCGGGTGCTGCCGTCTCGTGGCCCTAGACCATGAACGCTCTCTTACATCATGAGGCTTGACTCCCTTATCCAATCTTGTATCTAAATTTAAATAATGTTCTTGGCTTTACGATGTAATCACGGTCTATCTATTGCAAGAAAAAAAAATCTAAATATATTTTATTTGATTCTGTACTAATTGGAAGTGAGACCGCTGCCTATGACTTCCGGTAGAAGAATTATACACCATGCACGCTGAAGGTCAAGTAATGAGCCAGCTTGGTATACTGCATGTTGTGATTGTTGAGAGGTCGTGAATGGACAGAAAACTTTGGCATAGACTACTTTTCAGAAAAGTTTTAATTTAATTATACTTTTTTCTTAGATTTTCTAAAATTTTCATATTTTTTTTTTGGAAATGAAAACAATGATTTGAGAAAACTCTCTAGCCAAAGGGGTATTTCAGGAGACGTGCAGTTTTGCGACCCCGACGCTTCACGTAAATAATTCTCGATAGTTCTTTCAAGGCCCATCTCTAATTCGATACACACAAGTTCATTGGCAACACTCCATGCAGCCATCAGGATTCATTTTCACTGGCCTCCTTGGGGCGTCTACTGTTCTGAGCTTCGAGTGGGCAATTCCTAGCAGTCTAGAACATGGGGTTTATGGAATCTACTTTGATAAACACGATGAATTTATGACCAGACCAAAATTCGAACGTATAGAGGGTAGCGAGGCAATAGGAGGCAACAAATCCCCTACTCTTCTCTCCCAGAAACGAAGTTTCCAGGACATAGAGCCCCTCGTCTACGACCACCACTCCACCCCACCGATTGAGATCCCGGTATCCAGCCAAGGCTGCACCGAGAGTCGAGCTCCTCTAGACCCCGATGAGCATTGGCAAGCTAAGCAGCTCATGTACTGGGAATGCGATCGTGGGCGCAGAGTACACAGGTACTTTGGTCAGTGGGCGACCAACGGTACGGTTGCTGTTTGGGTGTGCAGTTGCAAGTGGTTCGGTTTCATGAATCCTTGTCCGCTTGAGGAATTATATGCTGCCGAGACGATCTTTAACCACACCTGCGGCGACGATAAGGGGGCGTGGGTTCATATGAAGGAATGGAGGAAAAGTTATGGTCGGGGAACCAAGGGAGACAAAATCCATTGCCCGTGTTGGTAGAAGGGATGGAATCTGATCACAGGTGCCCAATATCTGCAGCACGCAATCCACTGGTTGATCTTAGTGTGTGAATATGGACTGTGTATGTTCCAACAGGGCGGGAGCTAGGTTGAAATTTGAACTCGTATGGTTTTACTCTTCACCTCAGTTGAGATATCTGCTAGACAGTTCTTGCTCCGCAAACAGCCGCAGGATACCCCATTGGGGATTAAATATGCAAGATATGGTAGGAAAATGAGCTCAATCCAGTTCAACAAATCACAGATCAAGAGGTGCCCGAATGATATGTTAGAATTAAAGGAATACCAAAAATCGGGTGTTCTTTTTCTTTCTGCTGCTGTACAACATATTTAGGGGTGGGAACAGGGTTGCTGCCTATATGTCATCATCTTCCACAGCTTACAAGTATTCTGTTTACGACAATCGACTTGGAGATAATGGAAGATGAAAGCCAGTTCGAGGAATCACAGCGCAATGTATGGTGCTTCAGATCACGATGGAGATTTCACGGAGATCAGAGCAACGCCAGCTGTCAAGGTTCCCAATGGGATGAAGCCTAAGTTGTGACACGCAAAACATGTATGCCTAGCTGCTGTGCCCGCTGGCTTCCGACAACCGCCATGACAAACAAGGAAGAAAGTTGAAGAAAAAAAAAAAAGATTTAGCAGATAGACTCTGCAAAAAAAGAAGTTATTTTATAGGAATAGCCCAACGTGGGGCTCGAACCCACAACCTTGAGATGATCTGTGTACTCGTAAGAGTCTCACGCTCTTCCGATTGAGCTAGCCGGGCCTCAATCGTGTGTTTGTTGGAGCTCCGGCCAGATGTTGACGGCAATAAGGCCGGACGATCCCTTTCGCGGTAGTCCAAAAAATGAGCAAAAAAGAAACTTTGTATAGGAATAGCCCAACGTGGGGCTCGAACCCACAACCTTGAGATTATCTGTGTACTCATAAGAGTCTCACGCTCTTCCGATTGAGCTAGCCGGGCCCAATCTTTGAAGTTTGACTGTTGAAGTGCCAGGGCGGGAGTTGTGCCTAAGAAGGCAGAGCGGGGAACTCGCATCCCCGTCCTCATCCTCGCCGAGCTTTGAGTCATCCGCAAAAACCTTTCTCTGTCATGATGCCTAATACATTTGCCATTTGTATCCAAGCCTTTTTTTTTTTTTCTTTTGGGGAGGGGGGGGGGGGGGGGGGGCTCAGTTAAACCTGGGGCATCTTGACAGGATAACATGACATGATATAGGTTCGGCTTCACAATTTGACGCTCCGCTCGGGTTATCCTCGAAGAGGATGGTCATCTTCAGATGTAGCATAGAACCTGCGCTCAAAGTAACTGCATCAGCCAATTACAACGACAGTCTATATGCTGAGAAAGTGTATGCGCCAGTGACTTTATCTTGCCTACCTTGCAACCAGAGCGAGCATATCTCGTACTAACGATGAACCGTTCATCTTTCTTCGAGCCCGAAGTTTCTTCAAGATGGCGAGGACCCATCAGGACCCAATACTTGAGGACCAGTTCGTCCCTCAGTCAGATTGTTTCTCAGACAAACCCCCCTGAGTCTTCTCTTGGTGCTGGATAAGTGTGTCTATCCGTAGCCGCATACTTCTTCGAAAATTGGTCGAGCATCCTGCCTATCCATAACTGAGCTTCAGCACTGGCAAACTCGTAGGCGATCCGAAGCGAATATCCAACCCGGTAGGGACCCATCACGCCCTGGCTGACGGACTCAACGCTCCGAAGAATCTTGGACACAAGATCTTGCTGTGCCGCGTCCGAATCGGGCACTGGAGTCCCACACTGAGCCAGCGTCTCTTGAAGTATCAGCATCGATGCCCAATAGCTCATGTTCATGGCGCCAGCCCATGGGTGCTCGAATTCGAGTATTGTCGCGTGTAGCGCAGTAGAAGGGCCGGCAGGCAGGCCTTCGGTAGAATGTACGTACGGAAGGGAGGTGAACTCTTCGTCGTACCATTTCTTGAAGCTCGTGTAATGGGCGGCCGCAGCCTGAGCGAGCGGTCCAAGTCGTGCAGGGTCCACGGATATGCCCGCTTTCTTCGCCTCCCGAACCATGTATCCCCATTTGAGTATACCTGGTACATCTACAAGTCGCAAGAAAAAGCCATCAACAGTGGAGATGGCTTCAGCAGAAGTACCGGCTGGGTGGACGAGGCATCTCCCCCGGTCGCACATAATGGGTCTCCATTCAGGTCTAGACAGGAAGCCGTCCTTCTCCTGGGGGAAGAACATGTCACTCATCATCTGGTAGCGATAGGAAGTTAGCCCAGTCCGTTGAAAGGAACATTGCAAAAGTAATAAAACGACTCAGGGTCGTAACCAAGGTAACCTTCGGCATCCCAGCTCCCAATACTCATAGCCAGCATCCACCAGAAATTAAGAAGATAATACGATTTGCTGTGTTCCAGTGGCAGGGAACGCGAATTGCGAGATATCCGCTTCTCCATTGATATCGCCGAGAACAGTATTGAGATCTCGAGTAGCACATGAAGGCCTTCTTTTCCCCATAACCACTCGGTTACCGGTAACAAGCCCTTGTGGCCAACATGTTTGACCCTGGATCGTAGCCTTCCGTGTCACTCCAACTCGAGAGCGCAGTTCTACGCCAGAGCAGTAGCATCGACACACAACTCAACATTATAGTAAACAGGAAATGCAAACGTACGAGAATTGAGCGAAATGACAGCAACATAGCTGCGTCCCATCCTTCAGCGTGCGCCGCGGGACCACGCCGTTCCATCAGGACCCCAATGCCCTTAGCATGTTGGAGCCAAGTATCTGGGGAACTAGTCCCCGCAAATAGCTGGTTGGATCATTGTGGTCAGTTATCACTCACGATGGCAAGAGGTGAAATAGGAGAGAGAGGGCCAAGAACTACCTACCTCAAAGTAACAAAGTAGAATTGCAGCAAAGAGCGTTTCCGAGGAACTCCACCTCGAGGGATGACTCAAGGCTACTTGGAGCTCAACAAGGGACTTCCCGTATATTGTGCGGCTCTGTGCGACTAGGAGAGGGTTGGATGTCTCCTTTCCAGATAAATGTAACGACAATGATGCTATTGCACCGTCGAGAAGAGCCTGTGAGCCTAAATTGTCGGGCTTAAGCCATTGGAATAGACTAAGCATATCCGGGGGAGCAGAAGGGCAGAAGTTCTCTGCCATCTGATAGATGACATGGCCTCTCAAGGGCTGCAACAAACGACCTATCGGAGGTGCAACGGGAGGGCCGAGACGAGGCACTGCGGTGACAACAACCTGGTCCAGCTTGAAAATCAGGGTTGGGAGACCAGAGAGGGAGTCATCAGAGCTGACGCTCTCCTCCCGGCCAACATTGCTGGGACCTCTGCCTCGTTGGCGAATCTGGTGCTTGCCAGCCACGAACTTGAAGTTGCGATCATAGCCTGGACACGCAGCGCCGTACCTGGTACAGTTGCCGCACGTCGGCCGTGCCTCATCGCACTTGACCTTGCGCTTCCGACAGAGATGGCATCCACTGCTTCGCGGCACACCAACCATGGCCTACGCTTTGGTCGCTCACCGCCCGGTGCTTGTGCCACGGTTTGACGAGGGGAAGGCCCTCTTCCTTCTTCACTCCCCCACGCTCCGGGTTCCCGTTGGAGAAGAGATGGGTTAGATTCGAAGCAGGCCCTGCCCACCGTGTACGGAGTAGTTACCGGACTCTTCGATGTGTGAGCGCGGAGCTAAAGCGGGGCAAACGGAAAGGGAGGTGCAATAGTTGCCGCGCCTCACGCAGCATAAATTGTGTCGAGAGTGAGACACAATGGCAAGATACCTTTCCTTTCACGTGCTAGATCATATGAATAGAAAAAGAGACTCTGAGACTGGGACCGAGATGAGAGAGCGGCCAACTGAGCGGGATGGATGAGCGGTCAAGGTAGTTGAACTGAAGTGCACTTGCACTGTCTTAGGCGGTAGCACAAGGCGTTGCGGTTGACAGCTGTGAGGAGACAATGGTTCGCCTGAGGAGAGGGGGGAAATCTGCGTGGGTACAACGAACTTTGTCCAGTTTTAGCAGTGTGGCTGGCGGCAGTTTTTGCGACCAGAGAGACTGGAAGGGTAAGGGGTGATTACAGTGCAGGCCCAGACAACAGATGCGTGGGTAGGGGAGCTTGACTTGGTGCACTGCAGAGCAGTCTAGTCAGGATTCGGTAGCTGGGAATCTCGAGCTGAGCGGAGATGGAATAGGTGAAGTTACGTCCGAATCATCCCTCGGCACTACGTAATTATGTACTCCATACTTCGTACATAATTACAGTATGCCTAAAGCCATCAGCAAGTGCTCTAGCATGGAAGTAAGGAGCACGGTCGTACTGTATGTAGATCTTTGTGGCTACTGCCCCCTTCTGCAGCTACAGCGGCGGCCAGGGTCATGCCCACGGGCAACAGGTAGGCTTTGGGAATGGTCAATATGACGACCTAGCATCTTTTTGTCCTCGGGACCATACCTTTGCAGAATTGCAGTGCAACCATCAATGGCTGCCGAGCCCCTGTCCCCGGCTTGGTCTCCCGGCAGAGGAGAAGACAGAGGGGAGAAAGCCAGAGTAATTACAATACATATCGCCAACAAACTAATAATTAATTACCGTATGTCCCGTAAATTGAAATTGAGTATCTACTTGTGGAATTCCATACTGGGAAGAACAGATAGCCAGGCGACGACTACTACCAGAATACGCGTAAGACACCTTGTAACTGAATATTTGTATAGCTGAGGTGCCCAGTAGCTAAGGTCCGCAGTTGCCAAGGTACCTACCTACCTATCTACCTTACCGTACTGAGCTACATGCGTAAGTGGCCTGTGAAATGCTGTACAGAATGTACTCAACGTAGCAGGTTTCCTATGGGAGACTCGGGGTGATCCGGTTTCGGATTTGGGTAGGACGACGATCAGTGAGTGAGAATTGATCAATTAACCTAACACAATAAGGGTCAGTCAATGAGCACGGGGAAATGATGAGGGCGCACTGACGGTGTTCTTTCGTTGTCTAGACACAGCTCCTCTCTGGGACAAGCCACCCCAGATTATTCTCCAGCTCATCTCCGGCTAAAATGAGCAGCAGAACGGCCTTCTAGTCGTCTCCCTAGGGAACGCCTCTTTGGAACAACTCGTCAATCGAAAGCGACCGCTTTGGCCAGTGTCCGAGGGAAAAAAAAAAAAATCTAAAAACAATCTGAATGTCTAGGAACGCCTTCTGGTCTATGCCCTCTCAGCTGAGACCAGTCTTTTGGAGGTCCTTTTTATTTTCGCCCTTATCCCCGGTTCAGGTCTGTCTTTCAGTTAGTTGGATGCACCACCATCTGACTCTGCATATGCCCCATGAAAGCACCTAGCCATTTGAGCGGGCGCGGGTATTGATTACTGTGGGAACACGGCGCAGGCGTGCATCATATAATTATCATAACCAACGATGCGAACTAAAGCTCCGCATATCCGAGAAGATCTCGGGGCTTAGGTGGAAGGCTGAAAGAAACCCGACAGCTGACGTAGAAAAGGTTTTAGATGTTCGTGGTCGTGCGTTGGGTTTCGTACTGGCAATGAGAGACAAAGTAATTTTGGCCATCTATCTGGCCTCGAGATAGAAGCCTCATCTTATTGGGGTTGGAGCGGATGGTTCAAGACATGTCAGCCCCGTATATGCCGCGCACTACCCGCCCTACATGAACAAGACAGTGACTATATACCGTACTAGATTCAGTTGATTGGGAACGGGGGGCTTGTGAGGAAAGTCTTCGCCACTCCTATCCGAAACTTTCAAGGCTTTATGGTTTTTTTTTTTTTTAGCAGATATACCTACCCTGTATCTGTCAGAGGGGTTAGATAAAGTCAACCAGCTACGAGTGCGACGGCACCAAGTAAAGGGCTATCCAGTACAGGAACCGTTACTGACTGTAGGCCACGAGAGGGCCTGGAAGAAGGAACTACCAGAAGAGCTATGCTGGAGCCATTAA